TTAAGGGTTTAAGGGTTTAGGGTTCTTGGCCGAAGAGGCTCATGACTTGCTGTCTTGCAAGATGCGGGTGGAGTTCTGGTCAGCTACCGCAAGATCTACACCCTCTAACCCTAGGCCCTATGCCCCTTTCCAGCCCCCCCCCAATACTGACCTCTGTTTGACCCTACCTATAGTCTCCATTGTAGTTCCTTTTTTTGGTTTAACCAATTCTATATTAAGGATCCTAAAAGGTAAACCCAAAAAGGAACTCCAATGGAGACTATAGGTGGATACCCGTCGTTACAGCCGAAACCCCCGACCTGACAGCCGACGTGGAAGAATCCGTTGCCGATGCAGTGGTACACCCTGCCGTTCTTCTCCATGTCCTCTTAGGGCTGAAGAGGTTTTCAGAGCTTGAGACGTGAGCTTCGAGATTGCAGGCTGAGCCTCTGAGGGTGTTTTTTTGGCTTTAGGTTCAGTTCTGGCGCTGTTGTGCTTCGCGTTTCTGGTGCTGAACGTTCTCTTCTTTTCCTCGCAGGTCACTTGCGCTCAGGTTGGGTCCTCGGCATCGTAGGTCTGCAATGTGCCGGCATTCACGTCATAGATGTTCAGGACCACCTGGCACTTGCATCGGCATGGGGAGCTTAAGGGGTTTCGTGGATTAGAGAAAGTGAGAAGATATCTTGTAGGCTTTACAGCGATGTAGGTCGAAGTTTGGATTTCAGCGCATGTAGAGTTTTTGTGGAACGGGCTTCGTAGAGATCTTGTAAGCTCGGGTTTCTTTGTTACAGTGCCGGCTTTGGCAGGGGTCTATCGATGGAAGACTGTCTTTAGGAATAGGAGGCTGTAAGTGCTGTGAGATGTTGTAGTATGGGTGAGAACTGCCCACACTTGCAGCGGCAGTTGCAAAGCCACCTTCAGATGTATCCATGAGCCTTCGAATGCAACCCCCGGCCTCGTTGTGAGCAACCACCTTCTCCTTTGCTGCGCAGATGCCCATGTCCAACGCGGTAAGGAGTGGCAGCAGGAGGGAAAACTGAAAAGTGGCTTTCCTCAGCGGAACTGTTAAAGCCAAATGCTGCAGGCGATTCAGGGTCTCGAAAGAGCTTAAAGCTACCTGGGCTCCCACCCCCATAGACACCTAAACCCTAAACCCCAACTACTCGGCATGCAATCCTTGTACGCCGCTGCCGAACATGCAACAAGCAGTCCGGTGGCACTGACCTTGCACCACATGCCAAATCCGTTGACCTCTACCCACAAACCTGAAAGTTCCCCAATCCTGTGCACTAAAACTTAACAGAATAGTGTAGGAGGCAAGCACATATTCAAGGCTCGATTGCCACTACAGGACCAGGGTCGGTTGGCCATGAGTACTCCGCCGAAGTATAAGATCTTTGTCGAAGTGGTACCGGATTTCGACGGAGGCGTCAAAAGTGATTATTGTAGAGGTGTTTTGGTTTTGGGGCCGTTGCAATCAGTGCCTTATCATTTAGGCTTCCATGCGGGTCCCGTATTTTCTGAATCTCAATCTGGGTCGGTTGTCTTCCGATGCACCGCGAATTGAGGCAACCGGCGCAATTCAATTAAACAAGATCTGACTGATGCAGAGGAACCTTCAGTGCACTATACCTTTAAACCTTCTGCGCTGAACAGCAAACTTACACTATGCAGCATAACAGTACACTCAAGCAGCAGCCCGAAATCCTGCGGAGTGCTTACCCCGAAAATGGACCGAGGCCTAAACTCCATGAAACCCCTTAATATAAGGGCCTTAATCAGAGGGTATGAGGGTATATTATTCTATAATTATGATCAGGAGCCCCCAAAACCCTATTCTAATTACTAAGGCGCCTACATTAACCCTAACCCGTGGGCTTTTCGAGCCTTGGGTGGACAGACGACGATGCTGTCGCGCACAAGTGTGACGAGCTCCTTTCCGGGCAAGCAGCGATTGTAGGTTTACGGATTGATAAGGCTTACGGCTTGAAGGGCTAGGGTTCAGGGTTTCGCGGCTTTGAGGCGTTAGGGTTTGGGTATTACGGATGTGAAAGTATGGTCAGAAGGTTTAGGACGGACTCTCCGGGCAAGGCGAGCTATTAGATGCCCTTAAGCGGTGTAGAGTTTACGACACTCCCTGTCATTTGAATGGCTGGTTTGAGCAGTGTCGTCACCTCCGTTGCGTGAGCTCAAGCTTGAAGAGTTCGCCACCTAAGGCTGGGGATCGGACTTAGGCAAGACCTGAGAATCTGCTATCCAAGCAGAACTTGGCCATGGTTTTCCCCACCCCCAAACTGGGGAAAATTACCCCACTACCAACCCTAAGCCTTGAATTGCTAAACCTTGAAACTTAAACTGTTCCAGGGTCCCCCCCCCCACTGTTACACCCAGATGAAGTTCGGGCTGAACACTGGCTGAACCTCCGACATGCCTACGATCCAAGCTTCATCTAGCAGAAACCACCGGCTGTCGAAACGAAACGCCAGCACCCGTCCCTAAACCCTAAACCCCACACCTGCCCAATAATTTGAACCACGGCTAAGAGCTTACAAGGGAGCTTGAGCAAAACATGGATCCCAACTTAACCCTAGAGAGTAGGATGCATATTATAAGGAGCCCAAGGAGTATGGGACCCTCATACGGAGCACCTCTGAAAAGAATCCCAAAACCCTAAACCCTAAACCCTGAACCCTTTAATATAAAGAACATCTTCACAACTTAGACCTTCCGACACAGGCCCCCGAAATCCGAAGCACTCGCACGCGAAGTCCGGGTGCAGTAGAGCAAACAAGCAGAACTGGCAGAGTTTGAGAGAATTTACGTTTTAGGGTGATATAGGGCCTAGGGATGTTTAGGGTATATAACACAACCGTCAAGGCAACCGACGCCTCGACTCCTTCCACGCCGTAGTTTTTCGGGTTCAGGCCTTTCTTGTAGTACCTGGTCTTGCCAGATATCGAGATGGCTTGCGGCAGCTCTACCGGAGTTGGCCCTGGAACCCGAAGCCGCAACCTCCAGAACTGCCGGGGATGGCAAACAAGAACTAGGGCGTGGAGGCTCTAAGCTCACTTCGACGTTGCTTTTGTTAGGGTGTGGAGTTTGTTCTGGGGCATGCGGCTGGGCCGTGCCTTCCTGTCTCGATTGAGGGGTTTCTGCAGCGAAGCCTGCGAACTTGTATCAGCTGCGAGATTGGAGCTTTGCGCCTCGTCGTACGTGCCCGAACATGACTCAGTCCAAACCCCCCAACCCCAAAAGCCATGATACCCAAAACCGTGTAAGCCCCAGCCAGACAAACCTAAAGGTGCTTTTTGCTGACAGAGGCGGACATAGCAACTTACAGCAGTGCAGCTGAAAGCGATTTCTATAGGGTTTAGGCAAGCGGGTCGGAGGTTGACTCCGAGTTGACTGAGATATGATTTATATATACATATATATATATATATATATGTGTGTGTGTATATCGACTGATATATATATATACACATATATATATATATATATGTGTGTGTGTGTGTATGTATGTATGTGTGTGTATATATGTATTTTACCGTATCCCTACGCCTAAAACAAGCCGTTTGATCTGCTCAGTCTGTGGTGGCTGTGGAGTTCTAGCACCAACCCTGCTATCTGACGGGTGGCAATACACACGCACACACGCACACACACACACACACACACACACACACTATATTGGTTGTTGAAGCCACTGTAGTACGGCCCTCACCCGGTGCATGTGTGTACTAGGATTCGTCCTTGGAAGCACATGTGTGTACCAGGAGTCGCCCTTCAAAGAACATTACATGACGTAGTATATAAGGGTCACGGGAGCCCAATTTATAGAGCCACAAGTTTGACTCATTGACAGGATTGCCGGATTGCCTGTTGTAGTAGAAGAGAAGGTGGTCGGGATAGATCCCAGACCTGTCTCAGACTGAATGCTGAAAACTTAGGCTGGGGCTTCCGCTTCTTGAGACTGGGAGTCTTCTCTCTGCCGCGCTCTGAGCTGTGCCGAAGGTTTCAACACGTTCCGAGCCCTGCCGTTCGTGACGGAGAGAGAGAGAGAGAGAGAGACAAATAGATATATAGGTATCTACACAGGAATACATACATGCCTGCATACATACATACATACATAAATGCATACATGCATGTATGCATGCATGTCTACGAGGCCGAAACGGCTACGCGAAGCCACAAGGCTCTCACCCGGGTTCTGGGCGCGACTTTGCAAACTTAAATAAGCCGTGCGCAAAATCGGCGACCTTCATAATAGCAGAACAAGAACCGCTAAACCCTAAACCCTAAACCCTAATCCACATAGCCGCTAGACCCAAGTCGGCAAACACACACGAAGCACAAGCTACAGACCTTGGCCCGACAGGAAGCCAACAGGAGATTCGGGGCCTTGAAGGAAACCCTGCAACAAATCTTGGAGCGTCCGATGCTACGAATTAATGAGCGGTCCGTGTTTCAGGAAACCTCAAGGTTCTATGAGGGATTTGTTAACTTAAGGTTTCCAGATTCTGTAAGGCTGAAGGCTTAAGTTTAACGCTAAATTCTGCCTACATGGCCTAAATCCGAACTCCCGCGAGTCCTAAGTGCCCAAAGCCCTCCCAAAGGCCTTATGTAAAAGGAAGGCACATAGAAACCAAAATGGAACCATACAGCAATCCTCCAGTTCCGCAGGTTGAGTCGCCCAAGTCCACGCTGTACTCCAAGACGCCCCAGAACAAAATCCGAGGCCCTACGACCTCGTGTTCAAATCTCAAAACCCGAACTCTTGAACTGCTGGGCATGTGTTTCAGCTCGTAGGGCCTGTTAGATTTAGGGTTTGTGCAAGCTTCGGCTTTAGGGTTTCGAGGTTTACGGCCTCTTCAATAGCTTCTATGCCTTGTGAGCTTTAGAGTTTAGAGTGCCCCACCTCTCCGGGTCTCCACAGTCATGAAGGAAGGCGTGGGCTAGGAGGTGGAGCTCGAATCGCAGGCTCAGTAAGGCCCAGTCCTCTGGGCTGTTTTGAGGGGTTTTGCTTTTAGGGTTTAGGGTTTAGGGTTTAGGGTTTAAACCCTAAACCCTAAACCCTAAACCCTAGGCACTTCTTGGGGTTTGAATGAACGAGTTGAACTCGTTCTGCGGGTTTCCGGGTTCAGAGGTTGTCAGATTGTTTCGCCTTGCCGCTCACTAGGCAAGCAAAGCTCAACGACAAGGGGTCCAAGTACTGGAGAGCACAGTACCACTTATCTTCCACCATCATAAAGTATGGGGTTCAGGGAATCTGAAAGGGCTACAGACTTGCGGTTCTAGTGTCACGTGATCTGACGTTCATGCGTGCGCAGAGATTCTTTGGATATGCCCTAGTATTGCAGTCAACGGTTTGAGCTCGATTTCGGGGCTGAAGGGTGCGGGTGTTTGGCGAGCCAGTGGGGGTACCAGAAAGCTTGAGATTGTTGAAAGCTGTAACTCCTTCGGGTGAGAGGTGTCACACAGGCAGCATGCAACACCAATAGTTTTGCAAAATCGCCAAGTTACCAACCAGGATGCGAAATCTCCCAAGTTACCAACCGGGTTTTGCCTCCTACGGGTTTGGCGGCTTTTTTCCCTCTTACTTAGCAAGGACGAGTCCGGATTGCAGGGATGGGCGGCTTAAGGCTTAGGGCTTGGGGGTAAAAGCGTAGGGTATGGACTCCAGGGCCCTCAAAGTGTTGTGGCTTTTGAGAGCAGCTGGCCAGACTGAACCGAAAGCCGAGAGCAGTCTCGTGAGGTGGCATCTGCATCCATCTTGCCTGAAGCCTCACCAGCACACGAACCAAAGCAACGGAAGCTTGAGTTTCGCCTCTCCGGGCCGGGCAATCATGAACGAAGTGAAGTTAGGATTTCAGGCTTGAGCGCGATACATTAATCCCGGCTCAGCCTTCCAGCTAAAAGTATGCAACATAAGACGGTCTGTGTCGAGTAGATACAATTCCTAGCATTTTAGAATGAAACGTCAAAGTGTAGTGTAATAGTGTGATGTAACCTGAAGTCGTAATGTGATATAGCACCACCTCCTACATGCACACAATGTACTGATGTAGAAGCCTTCATAGTTAGAATCGGGTTTGGGGTATATTGCTCTGTAATTATAATAAGGACCCCCCCCNNGGGGGGGGGGGGGGGGGGCTAGTAACAAACAACTAATATAGAGCCTTCTTATAGATCTCTTATAAAACCCTTTGAGGATTCCTTAAAAGGAACCCTATTCTAACTTACAAAGGCCCCTACATTAGATGCTAAACCCAGCTCAGTCCTCGAACCCAAAGTTGAAGAACAGAGGCTCACCAGTACCGATGTCCTCAACTTTGCCAGGCGATTCCAGGGAGAGAGGTAGAGATAGGGTTTAGGGTTTAGGGT